TATTATTATTATTATTATTTGAACTGGGGATTGAACTCAGGTCCTTGCGTATGCCAGGAAAGTGCTTATTCTACTGAGCCATCTCCCTGACCCTATTCACAAGATTGAAGACAGCTGATGTAACATCACATCCAACACCTTTAGGCCATCCAGACACTCCAAGTTTGAACTATAGCTTTTTGCCTTGGGTTCCTGAATTTAGACTCCATCTGTTGAATCAGGCTTCCAAATGGGGATTGGAATTTTTTTACTGTACTGTTTTGTACCACACTGGAAGAAATTCATGAAGGAAGTTTTGGTTTTCTTCCACTAAGTATTCATCAAGAATTCCAAAATCCTTATTTCTTGAATCTGTTCCTGACATTATTGAATCACTGAGGGCATATTTTTAAATGCATTAATAAAAGAGATTGTGAAATATATTTTGGCTGTATGCAAGATTGATTGGCAAGGTTTTCATCTCTGAGGAGCCATGACTTTTTGTGAGTAACAAGAATTTAATTAGCTGAAGCTCTAGTCCTTTTGACTATACAAGTCTTTGTTTTTAATAATTAAATATTCACAAACTTAAATCTTTTTTAATTTTCTTTTTGTGTTTTTAGGGAAGGGTCTATAGGGTGTTCAGGGTCTCATTACTAGATCAGACTCATTCATAGTGATCCGCCTGTTTACAGCCTCCCAAGTGCTGGGATTACAGGCCCACGCCACCACGCCCAGTCTCATTCCCCATCTCAGTGTGCCTCGGGGGCCGGCTGGCACAGCAGGCCCGGGGATCGAACCCCGGCCCCTGCACCTGCATGCAGGCACTTCAATCCGCTGAGCTCTTTCGCCAGCCCTCACAAACTTAAATCTTAATGGACTTCTTATAAAAATATGCAAGTTCTCGTTATACCATTTGTTATTTTTGTGTTTACTTAACAAAATACCCATTATTTACCATAATAATTTGTAAGTTGATATTGCTCAGGAAAATATTGGAAATTAGGCTCAGCTGCTTCAGTTTACTACCAAGTCACTTAGATTTAACAAGATAACCTTTTCATTGTTATATTTAAACATGTTCTGATTCTGTCTGAGTGACTAGAGAGCATCTTTAGATAATACAGCCTGCTTTCTATAATGTAGATTTGCTAAGTGTATAACCCAGGCAGAGGTGGGTGGGCAAACAAAATGAAGATAACCAAGAAAAGAGTTACATAGTTTTGCATGGTTACCACCCTAGACAATTCTTTCTTCCTACTGAAAAATAAATTAGTTGTGTACATAACCTTTCACAGAATGATTCCTTTCAAAAGAGAAGAGAAATTAGTGTGCACAAAAATGTATCAAAATTGTGTTTGCATATAGTACAAAGAGAAAGGTGATACTAAGAAGATTTCCTGAACAACCCTGAAGGCTGGAGAATAACTAGTGGTGTTTAATGGATGACTAGTGAAGGAACACCCTGGGAATGGGTAATAATTTGCTAAATAACACTGAAGTTTCCTAAGAAGAGTCTTCTAGCAATAACTTTCCTGGTCTATACAGCGTAAAGATTTAAGAAACAATATACTTATCAGAAGATTCTTTAATCTAGGAGTTAATTGGAATGATTCTCACCCTGACTAACTATATATACTGATACCTGTGAACTAAGCTACTGCACTGCAGATGGTAATTTGTAATAGTGGTTTCATATTGGGAGCGCCTGTCATTGTGGTATTCTGAACACGGGCTGCTTGTCATGACATGCCAGTTACTGCTAAGATGTCTCTTGGGTAGGTGGATGTTCAAGAAGAAGGGGGTGGTGAATGAAAGCAAGAGACAGGAAAAGGAATACTGTGGGACAGTCCTGCTTCAAGGTTGTATATGGTGAGATTTTTGGACTTATGTGCAAACATGAGAAGCATAGAATTCTTTATCCTATTGTTAAAATATAATCTAATTTTTAAATGTTCTTTATCATATTATGTAGGGACTTAAGGTTCAACATATCAATACTTGATGAAAAATACCTGTTCCTTATTATGCC